AATCTGGTAATATAAAAATGTATATAGGTACTAGTTCTAGTTATATCTGAGACTAAAAAGCCATTGAAAGTTGTGTTGTGAATGTAATACTATAACCATTTTGAAAGTCTCAGAGAGGTAGCCATGTTAATCTGTAACTAACAAAATTTTAAAAACAACAATGGTCCTGTAGCACCTTAGAGATCCACATGGGTGGATCCTTACAGCTGCTCACAACCCAGCTAAAGTGAAATGTGGGTTCTTCTGCCCACAGATAATATGGCAGGGCTAAGCTGTTAGTGGACTGAGGGCAGATCTACACTGAACAGTCAACGCCACCAGACTTTCCCCCTGTAGAGACGGTATATCTTCTCTGAAGAGAGTCACTGGGAGAAACACCAGGTGAATTTAAAAACAGGCAGAATAGGCAGTAGGTTTATATTTTGATTCTCTAAATCCTTCCAATAGGATTCAACACAAAAAAGATCATTGCAAACTGCAGAATACCACCATGCTGCACTGGGTAAGCCAGAAAATAAAGCTGTCCCACAAGGGCCCGCACACTCACTCAACCTCCCCCCCTCCCCGGGTCCCTCCAGAGCTTCCAAGTTTGCCTCATGGGCTAACTAATGGGACAGTGACATTAGACAAGGCTTGAGGTGGCCTGTAAGTCTTTGGAGGGACGTGTTTAGTGGATGGGAGGAAAAAAAATGCGAATGCAGCAGCCCGTGGCTTTCCTATTTTTAAAATCAAAGCAATGCCATACGTTAGCACTTAGGTCCTCTCTGCCCTCAATTTCCGACCATCTGTGCTGCTCTCCGAAACTGCCATATTCTTTTTTTTTTAAACTATATATATATTTATTAGGCTCCAGTGTATTCAAAAGGCTAAATGTCTCTCTTGCTGTATAATCCCAGTAGGAAGCACCACAGGCAATGAGCCATTTCAGGAATAAAGAAAGCTCCATTTCACAAAACATGCATTAAGAAAACCAGTCAGCAAACGTTCTCGCTAAATCCTGTGCTTTGAGATCAGCCGATCAAGCTGTAGTCCTCCCTAAGGACTACAGAATTTGTTACTTATGTAGTCAAATCCCTTTCTAACTCTTGGACTCAAGAATTTCCAATAGGTGCTACAAGGTTAATGGATGCAGGGTTGGGAATTTACCATTCTGCTGCATCTCATCTTCCTAAAGGCATTTTCTAAGCATGATATCCAACCATATCACCCCAAGCTTCTTGGGAAAGCTGGAAGAAGGACTTGGCTTCTCTCTTCCCCAATACATCTTTTTCAGGAGACTATTTGGGTGTAGACAATAATGTACCACACTTTCAAGCAGAGGATCACAAAGCACTTTATTTTATAAGGTCTTGAAAAAACCAGAGATCCACAAAATTATTTCTATTTTACAGATGAAGAAACTGAAGCATAGAAAGGTGAAATGACTTTCCCAAGGTTAAGCAGTGAGTCAGTGTCTTCTGCTTCAACCACTAGATCACACTCCTTGCCTAAGATACCGTAAGTTATAGTAGCACACATTAAATATTGAGAAGGGGTTTTAAAAGAAGACTCATGTTACTGAATAAACTCCTGAAACATTAAGCTAGGCATGTAAGATAGCATCCAGGAAAGCAGTTTTGTACAAACAAGTCATTGACCGCTGGGGAAAGAAAAAGGTTAAACCATGGCCCTGTTGAAATAATCTTAGATGCCAATCGGAAAAAGAAGCACTTTCTTGCAAGCCAAAGATCTAGGCAGCACCCCTAGATTGTATTGTGCTCATGGTCTGGTGCCCTGCAATTTTCCCTCAGAGCATCTGAGCAGAATCCAAAAAACCCTGTGAAATCAAGAGACTCTCAAATCCTTTGGCAACGTGTCCAAGTCACGATTCCTCAGAACCGCGTGTAAGCACACACGTATAAGCACTGGTCGCGGCGTTGTTCCCGGGGAAGGACTGTGGCTAGGGCAGAGAACTTAAGTCTGGCTGCCTGGATTCTATTCCCATGAAGGTATTGTCACACAAACCACAATGCAGGGAGGCTGCCCGTTCACACAATGGATACAGGCCCCTCACCCGGGTACTGTGAACCTTGAAGGAACTATGGACAGGCAGATTATTATTTTTTATGAATAAACTGGTTAACTCGTGTAGACAGCCACGGTGCCTCTCTGACCCACGCTTTGCTGATCCCCTTCATGTGGCCTCAGGACCCAGCCTGGACTGGGGCAGAAACAGATCAATTAGGAGATCAAAATCAAAGCCCATTTGGTTTGGCTCAACTGGTGATGCTTTGACGGGCATCCTCCCATCTTCTCCTATTATTAAACTAGCTCGTTGATTTCAAATGAGAAGTGCATTTTATCCACCACCACGCCGTTCCCTTTTCATTTCAAATCCTGCTTTGCTGAATCGTTTGGCTTCTCTCAGCCCAGCACTGGGTTAAACATGAAACAGTCAAGTGAGGAGAGGAAAAAGCCACCAACAACCAGCCCTGCAGCCTGTAACACACAGCACTGTTGCACACTGGCAGTTTCTGGGGAAAGTGCTAGGGAAAAGCCGTGCAAAAGCCACTACGTAATTTACTCATCACGTACACACACAGAGACTGGCCTTCACTGGCTGCAGGACAATTAGCAGGTCAGCAGGGTCACACAGAGTCTGGCAAGTTGGCACTTAACACCAAGTGCTCTGAAGCTCACAAATGAAACACTCTCTCTGTGTATGTTTCAGCGCAGCATGGAATCTTTTAACTAGGAGCAGGAGGGGTCGGGACTCCGATCTCTAGCAAACACTCATAAAAGCACTGTTTTACTCGCTCGCTCCGTTTTTTTGGAAGAGTGGAGTCAGGATAATTCTTTTGAACCATCAAAGAGTGGGGGTGGGGAAGAACAACAGCTGTTGAAATCAAACTGACCAAATCTTGCCGTTTTAGTTTCAAATATATCACAACGGGTGGGACAGGTCTGCATGTTTTATTTAAAGACTCTGCCTTTTGCCTTTCCACAGCAGATCTCAAAGTACTTATAAACATTTAATTAAAACGCACAGCCCACCTCCTCCAAGGAAAGTATTATACACAGGCCTACGGCTCATACAGCAGCTCACCACAAGCCTCTCTTTCTTCTTTGCTACTTTGGCATTCAACTCCATCACAAGAGACCAGGAGTCCCAGCGCTACAGAGTGAGGGGGCGAGTCCCAAAGAGCAGGAGGCCGACAAAAACTCTTGAAGAACAGGACAAGGGGAGAAACAATCATTTCTTTAACATAAGCATAAATCATTGATGAGAAGGGGGAGAAAATACAAAAAGCAAACAGGATGAAAGAGAAACCTGGAGGACAGGAGGGGGAAAAGATGGTGGCATCTGTCCTGTGACATGATGAAGAGGACAAAAGGAGGAGGGCATACATGTATATGGGAAGCCGTATATCTCCTGCACAAACAGCGGCATCAATAAAAAGAAGGCTGGTTCTGAGTGTCCTAGAGATGTAAAGTCAGATCTGGGCACAGGGAGTCCTTCCTAATTTAAATAGGAAGCATTTGCAAAGCTCAGCAGAAAGAGGAACCAGTTAATCCTCCTAGCACCCTTGTCAGGCAGGGAAAATAACAGATTTTTCTGGATCGTAGGCAGGGTGAGACTGTGTTTTATTAAACATATTAAACTGAAAGCTACTTCAGAGATCTCCCTTAGTGCAGCGTCAGCTGCAAGAAACCAACATCCAGATGCAATGGCATGTGGGTATTAGCCCAGG